AATAAATAATAATAATAATAATAATAATAATAATAATAATAATAATGAATAATGAATAATAATAATAATACTACCTCCTTTTTTAAATAAATGTCGTTTTGACTTTTTTGATTCATCCATTTTGCTATGTATCTAGACATTAATATGTCTAAATACATAGTAAAATGGATGAATCAAAAAAGTCAAAACGACATTTATTTAAAAAAAGGAAGGAGTAATATAATATAGTGAAATTAAATAGTTTGGTGTGGCAGTCAGAGGGCGAGGTACAATTTCCTATGCGTCCCTAAGTCAGTGAAGCGATTGGTGGAATGTGACACTTTCGATGATTGTTCTTTTCAAACTTATCATCAATAATTTCTAAAGGGGATGTCTGTAAAAAAGGGGTGTACATATAGCACTTTTTTTTGTGTAATTTATTAAAAGGTGGTGTACATATAGACACCCCCTTTCTAAACTACCCCTTTATACATGTTTTTTAGGGTATCAAACTTAAATCAATTTCAGTCCGCACCATTATCATCTTGCTTAAGGCTACCTCGTTAGTTAGATAAATAAGATTTTTATGCTATTTTTTGAACTTAAGTTATATATGGGCTCATTAACAAGTCAAGCTCAAGTTCGTCTATCGATTATTTAACTTAATGAGCCAAAACTTAAGGTTGTTAAAAAGTCGAGACCGTAATCGAGTATTAGGAGTCCCAACTCAGTTTAGCTCGACTCAGGGACGGAGCCACCCTAAGGCTAGGGTGGGCTCCAGCCCATGTAATATTTTGCTACCCTTATTTTTGCTAATCTTATTTTTTAAAAAAAAAAATTATACATAGACTCATTAGCCCCATATAATTTATTATATAGCCCCATTTAATTTTTGGCTTGAACGACTCAAGATTATCTTCATGTTAAAATTTGTTATCTGACAACAATGGTGGAAAAATGATGATTATAATGAGGAAAAAAGATAATCCTTTATTGTCAAATGATAATTGTGACCTTATTAGATTTTTATCAATTGAGTTTATAATGTGGTCCAACACACTCTTGTCTTTTAAATTTTTAATGGGTTGACTTGACAAATATCAATGAGTTGGATAATTAAGCTTTACATAGACTTCTCCAGCGGGCTATTTAATTCGATTCGTCTCATTCTACAGTCCGTTATCCATTTTCATTTATTTTTTTTTTTCTTTCGCCTCCAATAATTAATTCGACATCATTTCCTAGACAAAGAGAAAACTCGTACAGAGTTGATTGCAAACATGTTCGACTTTATTTGTTTGATCGACAAGTTCGATTAGCTATTTGAATTTGGCATGTTTAAATATATAAGCGATTCGAGATTGAGTTTTTCCAATTCAAACTGACATATGTTAGCAGATAATATGTTTATAATCATAACCAAAACTAGTTACAGGCCGAAACCGTCGATACCGGGCCGAGAGTTGGAGGACCCTGAACCGACGCGAACATATGTACGAGTCGGTTCATTAAATTGTCGATTACTGGTCGTCCGTTTCATTTAAAAAATACAAAATAATTAGAATAATATATAAAAAAAAATACGAACCTCGGGTTCCGGTTCCAGCTCGGAACCAAAACTGCATGTTCAAAATGTATAAACTATAAAGTATTGTACATGAACCGAACTGGTCAAAACTACGGGTTTGTTCAAGACCCATGGTCAACGGGTCTGCTTATGTCGGTTTGGGTCGAACCGGCATGCTGGGTCGGCTCATGACCATGTCTACAAGGTTCCAATAATAGCTACAATAATATGCAGCTCCAAGTTAAAAAAATTTCCTGGCTACGCCCCTGTCTCGACTTATTTACGGACATAGTCATGAATAATAACTCACAAACTTCTAAATAGTACAGTATAATTCCAAAACATATCTTACTGATCGTGACTTTTTTGTGTTTTTTTTTGTGTTTTTTT